TCTTCATGTACTTCACATGCGTCAATGGGCGAGACGACTTCTGCTTGTAGTAGGCTTTGTGGACTATGTAGCCATTCACAATTGCTAAATCAATTAATCATAACACCAGCGACTTGTAGTACTTTTTGAACCGCACGGACCGCTGAATAGAGTACCGCTGCAAACGTAACTGGTCGTGGACATCCACGCCCCCCATGAAGGCGTGGTAGTCCTTCACGACGCGTGGGCAAGGAACTTCGACTTTATCTGCGAATTCTTGGTGAGCACCACGATCCATCTCAAGACTCCCGCCAGTGCACATGAAGTGAGCCGGCCGCGCGTCCCACCAGCTAGCAGCAGTCGTGTTTGGCACTAACTTTGATCTTGAAACTTTGAAAGATCCGCGAGCAATAGTAGCAGGTCTAGACTTCTTTTTTTCAACGACTCCTTTGCAATAGCCCAACCGGTTCGTCATAATAGTCCCAACACAGTAGAATCCCATGAGCAGCAATTGAATTGCCAATGCCACCGACGTGTAGAACCGATCCACTACAACAAGTCTCATCCCATTCATCCGGGAATCTGGCCCAAACACAGCGAGAAGATTGCGAACTACTGCAGCAGGCCCTGACTTCATATACGTCTTGTGTGCATAGCCGGAGTGCTGTTTCTTACCGCAGTAAACCTCGAACCTGTATAAATGCAGCATACTTATAGCAAAATATCCAGCTTTAGTCTGCATTATTCAGCATAAGAAAAACTTAGAGCCAAAAAAAAATACCTGATGCAGTAAGCGGTCACCGCACTGCACAACATAAAGAGCTTCGTGCCCCACTTGTGGGGTTTGTCTTTCATGTAGACACGCATCTTGTTGAACGACGAGCGGCTAGGAAGCATCGCTTCATCAAAAGCCAAGTGTGCTGGAGCCACATACCCTCGCTCAAATGTCCTTTGTAGAACTTCCACAACTTTGCGAATCTTCCATGCTCTATCTGTGACCGCCCTTGTATCAGAGTTTGGATTGAAATGTAGGTTTCGAGAAATCTCCATAAATTTATCGCGACGCAGCACGGACCCGAACGCTCCACGTGGAATACCGCCTTCATCAGTAGTTTTCCAATGGTTTGCAAGTTTTTCGCGGTTGGGGGCAATCGTGCGTGCAATTAGGAGGCCGATAAAGCGACAAAGCTCGTGAGGTTGTATCGGTTTCGCGCCCTCTAGCTCTGTCTGGATGTCTCGCTTGGTCTTCTTTGGTAGTTGAGGATTGAGCCGGCACTTGCTACGGTAGCGTTTGTACCGTTCATCGACACGAAGGGGTGCCATTTCACGCCCATACTCGTTTGAGCACACCGCAATGTGCTGCCACAGCACTACTGGTAGAAAGAAAAAGAAAAGCGCAAGCGGAGAGTCAGCATTGCGCAGTGCATCAGCTGTGGGGCCCGAATACCCTTGCCGTAGCCCAGGGTAGCTTCGTGTGTTGTCCACAGGCTCGTACGGCGTGTTCATGTAGTCAAACGTATCGGGTTCCTCCACATCTTCCCAACCAGTCGCAGCCATTTCACGTAGAACACCGTTCTTGAGATTATCAGCTAACACTGCGTCCTCTCCTCCAAAACTATCCAGGGAATCGCTCCGCGAACAGAACTTCAGCGGCAATCTCAGTCTCAGAAGCTTCCGATTCGTCTTCATCAGGTGGTAAGTACGTATCAGCGCATTCTTCATCATCGCCACTGTCTTCATCCATAACCAAATCGTCTTTTGCAGCATCACCAGATTCCATGGCAGCATACTCGGCAGCGTCGTCTCCATCACACACCGTATTGAGCGAGTCGTCTTTATCAACAAGTAGCTCACTGCTCACTCCTCCATCTTCATCTTCATCGTCAACTCCATCTCCAACACTACCATATATAAAGCAACGAACCATACACAAATCAGTGAAAATGCACCACAAGATACAGTACTATATGCAGCACAAGATGCAGCATAATATAAAACGCACCAGGCTGGCAATCGCTTCCTTCCTCGACCGATTCCACCGACACATCGTCCACAGTCTCCTCGGCTTCAAACTCGGGGTCGTCGCCGAAGTTGTCCGGACTACCAACGCTGACATGGGGTGACGAAGCAATCAGTGTCGTGTGTGGCGGAGATGTAGCCGCCATAGGACTCTCTGAATCAGCCAATGAGCGCCTCGTAGGGCGCGAAGACCGTCGCCCAGCTCCAAAACTAGACGGTGGGGATGTTGGGGCACTTGCAGGGACATTAGGAGGTGCACTCCGAGGCGGTGAAAGCGTTTGAGATGGTTGCGAAGGTTGTGGCACGCTCTCCGCTTCGTTGCGACCACTTGTCCTTCAAATAGGTGGCCGTAGGTTTCGCGAACGACTTGAGCAGCGCGCTCTAGCTCAGCATCATCACGGGTAGGTAGACTGGATGTTCGCGCTCAAGTACGTAGCTCTGTGTACGCAAACATGTAACGTTAGTTACCAATTGATAATAACATTACTAAGGTACCTTACCGTTCGCATAATACTCCAGCACTGCTTTTTCTCCCAGGAAAACGTCGACTCCTTCGACTCCGTCGGGGTTGCATCCGGGACGGACGTAGCGATATCTGTCGTCAAGGCCACGGCTGGACGGACCCTTGTTAGTCCAGCCTTGGGCTCTCAGCTCACGCCACACCGACCGCCAGGAAAGGTCACTCGACGACAGGTCGACGTCACGCACTTGTTTGTGTCGGGCTCGCACCATCTTGGGTCTCCACTTGTGTCCTAGGCGCGCAAAATCTCGAATGAAAAAAATATCCCTCCGTCGGCGAGTGGCTGTCAGCCGTTACCTGTCAAATTTGCTAATGCGCGTCAAATGTTGTTTGTTTCAATTATTTAAAATATGAGCGACTTTCTCTTGCCAGAAGACTGATCGGGGTTTGCTTATGTAACAGAAAAATATCATTTTGCCAAGATCGCTTATCTTAAAGTTTGTATACCCGCTGGCGAGGAAAAATACGCTCAATACAATTTCAAGTCTAAATTGCTCTTATGCAGCATAATGCAGTTTATGAAGAAAAAAAATGCATTATGCAGCACGTCGGGTTGGAGGGGTTAATTAATATATTTATGCATTAATCGGGAGTCCTGTTTACATATGAGAGTAATAACAAAAACAACAAGGTAATATCACCATCTGGTCACAGCAGCTATATTCCTAGGAAGCAAGGCTCACTTCACAACATCACGAACTCGAATGAGTCGGTCCCTCATTCGAAAACGAAGCTTTGCGTTGATCAGGGCTGAAGGTGATCATGTAGGATCTGAATACTGTAGCTATTTGTTACTGTTTTCTTGCAGGTTTATCGCGGCCGACGGAAATGAATTTGTCTTGATAGAAACTTATAAATTATCTCGTTGTCAATCTCGACCAAATTTACATTTTGGAGCAGACACTCACTTACAAGGTACCCTATTGACATGTACAGCACTATTCACTTGTATTTCTCTGGAGTGACTGTGTAGCCGGTATGACCTTTATTATTTAGGATGACGTTACACCCCCTATATTAAATACTACAGCTCTGTAGTAGCCTACTGATAGTAGGAGTAAAAAAGGCGGAAAGCGGTCTTTCGACCAGATGACTAGCGAGGGAATTGTCTGTTCAGTGGAAAGTTACTGCAGCTACTGTTACATTGCACAATGTAACAGTAGCGAACACAGCCTGTTGCTTTCAAAAAGGGCAGATTTCATTGAATCCGAGCACGAAAAAGCGATTACAAATAAAACAAATCAATATGGATAAAAAGAAATTTAGCAGAGTATCAGTGCTTCTTCTTCCGAATTAGCTCATCACGAGCCCGAGCCAGCTCCGAAGAAGTTCAGACAGAACTATCATCCGAGCATCGGATATGAGGCGAAACCACGACAAGAAGCATGACTGCAACTCATAGAAAATACAAAAATGTTTTGCTTTCTGGTAGCAAAACAACCTAGCTAACTGGCCACTTCGAGAATGCCGGTTGACTCCCTTGTCGTTTCTTCTTCAGTCAAGCCGATAGTGACATTTTTTTTTGCTAAGTACCGGGAGGAAGGCGATGAGTTTGGATACGCCCGTAATCCATCTTCGCCCATCGACTCGTCTCCTCGAGCTCTGCAATTGTTCCACGATGGACACTATCATGGTGGTATCTTCGAGGTGCGTCCAGCGTCCATCTGTGCCGAAGTTGCCCGAGTCGAACGTTGTCTCGAATCGAAAGTAACTCTGAAACAACCTGTTTTATCCATAAACTCTGGAATCGGACAGTCTCCGTTTTGCCTTCGAACGGGCAGGTCAGTAGCTGCTGTGTGGTATGCGAGCTCCGATCCGTGCGCGGCACCCAGTAGCCACCCGAGATCCAGCAGTGACACGCCGCAAAAAGCGAAACACACTTCGCCATCCCTCCCGCGACACCTCCACTGCCGCGACGCCGCCGTCTGACAATTCATCATCTTTTCGGTCGTCAGTACGGCGGGCGGTCGGAGTGGAAGACAGGGAACTCTTCCGCCGTACACGACGCGTACAACGGTGGCAAGATCTGTCTCGCAGCAACGATGACCACACGTCCGCAAATCTAGCGAGCCAGGGCTGGAAGTGGCGGCGCCATAAGAAGGGCTTCGAGCTGTACACCCGCGAATCCTCAATGCTTAGTGTCTCCGGTGCCCCAGTAGGCTCCCAAACTTTATCGTCGCTACTGGACAGCGAGATCTTGGCAGTGGGGAACGTAGCGTGCTCAATCAGTCAGCTGGCATCCCCACTGCGCTCTCCTAGCGAGAGCAGTTACAACTCGTTCATGCGCACGCTGTACGGCTCTGACTTTATCTACGGCTCTCTCGTCCACCAAGCCATTTTCCGTCGCAAATCACGCGCCAATAGTAATAATGCTGCTCAACCGACAAAAGATCGCACCAACCAGCTACTGGTCAAGACGTGCGCGTTCGTGCACACCTCCCTGTTCGACAAGAAGAATGAGCAGCTGTGCTACGCCGAGCTCTTCTCCCCCACCTCCAGCGGCGGATTTAACATCTCCACCTGCTCACTCGCTGCCCGAGAGGTGATCACAGGTAAGGTACGGCCTCCACTACGGCGTGCTCTGCATCAACTGCACCCGCTCAGCACATCGCTCTCTGCCGAGCCGGCCACATCGGGGGTCCAAGTGGTCTTTCGAGCTCGTTTCCACCGCTCGCAGAGCGATGAGTCGTGTTCGGCCAAGGTAATGAACGCTCGACTCTGGAAGTTTGCAATGGGAATGTGCGAGCTCGGAAAGCTGGTGGACACTGCTCAGCGTGCCCAGGGATTGAGCAGCAGCTGTATGAACCATACTATCGCTGGCGGTCCACGGAACTCGCGCTGCATCGTGTGCACACGGACAATGTTCCATATCTTCATGATGCGAAGCTGCTGTCGCTGCGAGCTCTGCTCCTACAATGTGTGCCACGCGTGCTGCTCGAGCCAGCGTGTAGCCATCTACAACCGACACGTGGCGCCGTTGCTAGTGTGTGCACGTTGCCACGAGAGTCTCGACCGGGACGAGTTCGACAGCCAACTACGAGCCATTAAACCCATTTCGGAAGGAAGAAACGGGCTCTTTTTATAATTCAAAAGAACAAAGCATTATTCACACACTTCAACTTGAAGTTACCTTTTTGGAGCCATCTCAATGAAGTCGGGCACAGTGCACGCTACAATCAAGTTTAGTACTTGGCCTCAGAAGACGATGAGCTGCAGTGAACGAAGCGGGCGCGATGTTGGCGAGCGCGACACCTTCCGACAGGAGTCGGCATGGCAGCCTCAGGAGTGTCCGATGGGCCTGTTTTCGTCATTAAACTCGAGTTCATTAAAGGGTTCCCGCCAGCTTTCCGCGATCTTCCCGCAAACAATGCCCAGTCACTCGGCCCTTGTGTACCATAGATATTTACTCCCACCACGCCATGCGTTGGCACTGCCAAGCTGAACACAACATCGATGGCGCTAGTCGCAGCTTGCAGCCCTCACCCAAGTGCGTCTACAACGAGAGCTTTTCTCCGCTACCGTGCAGCTGACCGTCAGCCTGACCCGCTGTTTTTGAACGTTCCACGCTTACCAGCGAGAGCCATCGACATCTGTCACGGAAAGCATATCCGATGCAAGTGCTTCGTAGAGTCGTGGGGCTATGATTCTCATCGCCATCCTTGGCCGCAATTCCTCGAACTTTGAAAGATCACCGAAACGGTGGCGACGGTATCAAGAACGTAGGCGTCTGGATGGCACTGGCCATCACCTACATGGAAGGAAATCGCAGTCAATAGATAAACTATTAACGTCGCTGGCTTAGGCCTTCGATTCCGAAAGCTAGAAGCTGCTACAAACATGCACTACGACCGCTGCCTGACCGGAGACTTGAATGATGTAAGTCTCTTCCCCACTCGCGGGACCTCCATACCATCCCACCTTGCCCGCCCTCTTTGCTGTCGCCACTCTCCGATTTGCTCCGTCCATCCACCAGATGCGCCAATGCTCGGATAGTCCGGCGCCAGCGCCCGCAGTATTCGGGGCGTCGGTGTCGTCCTCCAGTCTGTCGGCGGCACCCCGCAAGGTTCGGCTCACTGACCGCGAGCTGTTCGCGCGTGTACAGCGCGTGGTTGTGCCCGACGGGTCGGTGGATTTGCGGTGCCTGTCGTCAAGGCGGGGTTGGAAGCGTGTGCGAACTGGTGTGACGGGCGGTATGACTATGCAGTACCGAGTGGTGCGCTCAATCGCTCCGTCCCAGACGCGGCAGTGCCAGGTCGCTGGTGGTGGTGAGATCAAAGCCCGAACGTCCGAGCTGCTGTCGCTACTGCGAGCTCCGAGCGAGAGCGAGAGTAACGCGCTACTGCGAGCTCTCTTTGGCTCGCAGTTCATCTACAGCTCGCTATTGCATTCAATTCCCAGCTCAGAGCGTGGATCGCTACCGTCTCCTCCACAGAGAGGGAGTATCCATGCCAGTCCTGGCCAACAACTTATGGTTCGCACTATCAGCTTCGCACATAAAGGACTTTCCAATCCCTTCACGCAGCGAGCTTCAACTGCAACTCTGTCAGACTCAATAACGTCGAGTTCGCAGACTTCAACTCATCACCGCCAACATTCTGGGCGCAAGAACGAACAGTGCTGCTTGATTGAGCTCTTGACGCCAACACAGGACGGTTTCAAGCTCGCCTTCTGTTCACTGGACGCATCTGACGTTACGGCGGGCAAGGCGCCACCCGAGCGTGTCATCGCGCTCCACCCGATCTCAGGCTGGTTGACAGCCGAGTCGAGGGCCGACAATCCAGGAGCACTTCAAATCACCTTCCAGATTGCGTTCCCAGGTGACGTTCCTGGCGGTTGCGGCTGGCGTATTGCTCAGTCCCGATTATTATTTATCGGCAAGAGCATCTGTCGACTGGAGAAGGTGCTCCGTCGTCGACGTCGCTATCGTCGCCATCAACACACTGCACCTGGACGACTGTGGCAAGCGATCTTGAACCCATTTCGCGCATTGGGGTTAGTCGGATCGGACGAAGAAGGATCCGGAGGGGCGCACCACAACTGGCATTGCATTGCCTGCACCCAATCGCTCCTCCCTTTACGCAAAAAGTGGAGTCGCTGTGACTTGTGTGCCTACCGCATATGTGCAGAGCCTCCGTGCTGTTCTCAAGAGCGCGTTGCCATCTACAATCGCTACGTTGCACCTTTGCTTGTCTGCGCTCGATGTCGGGAGTGTATCGATGACCGCGACAGCCCCAACCGGGGGAGTGGGAACCCTCACTCGAGCTCAATCGTGGACGTCCGGTATACTGGAATCAGCTTACGATTTACGGGTCGAGAGAGTGACCTTGAACCGGAGTTTGAGCTGGATCCCTCAGGCGACAGATGGGGGACGACGGGTACATCGAATGCCAGACGATCTAGTGGTGGGATACAAAGGAAGAGAAGAACGCAATCGGATCCACCTCCTATGCTGGGGTTAGCCTTCTCAAGTTCTGGAGACGGCAGCTGCTCTTCTGGAACGGACGTCGCACCAGGGGCACGTAAAAATCACTAACTAAATTGGTATCACAAGACAAGAAAGCTGGCGGATGTGAATAGGCGGAAGTGAATACCGTTTAAAAATAAGGTACTTGTAGTAAATAATAATGCAATCATTGTAGTGATCTGACGACCTCAGTATCAACATCGAAGGCCGACATTGCGCAGCTCTCTGGATTTGCTAGATGTAATAACGTCCGTACTTGGGCCATCGTGGGTGAGCGGATTAAGTTCACGCTTCGTGCAGGCAACAGCGGCGCGCGACGGAGGAATGAATGGCTTTCCCAATGGTGTGCGTAATTTGGATGTGACCAATAGCTTCAACATTTCTAGTTTCATTCTGATTGCTTCAGCTTCTATGATAAGTACGAAAGTATCCGTTGCGGAAGTTGGTTCCAGTCCGGCAGCGCTCCTAGGCTGCGAAAACTCAAATAATTGTCATTGAAGAAGCAGCTATCCGCCGTTGAGGTGCGTAGCTTGCCAGCTACAAAAGTTATTTTGAAAGGGTGAAAGTGGTCGTGTATCCTAGCACAACAAACGCTAGCGTTGACAAGACAGTGGTGTTGAAACTCCCATCTGAGTCGGAATTTGACTTGTGGGACTCCATCACGGTCCATGAAACTGAAACTGGTGCCAATTTTGGAGAAAACCATTTCATGGACTGCTCGCGAGCAGGATGAAGCTGAACGCTAGCGTTCTGCACTGGCCGTATCACTGTGTCGTTATGGAAGCAGAAGTGTCGACGGTCATACGCATTAGCCGTGGGACCGGAGCCCGCGGTTACGTGGGGAAGGAAGGACCCAAACACTACCCACCAAATTAGATCACCTGACCGCAAACTAGCTTCGTTTGATCTTTAAAAGACGTACCCGAAAGGATTGGAGACGATATGTGGACTGTTAGCCGTACGTACAACTTTGTCGCGACTCGATCTTTCAATGTCGTCGAGAGCGTCGCCTCGCAAGCTTTTTTTTGTTTAGAGGCTCTACTTATTTTACGCTGTAAACTTCCTGCCGTGTGTTTGTAAGATTAAATCTTGACGAATCTTGTTCTAACTCCAAAGATGAGCTGTCATCGAAAACCTTGTCATCAACATTGGTAAGGCTAAGCTGCAACCTCCGTTTTGATAAAAAAAAAACTCATTTATCGGCTGACCTTTGACACTCATAAATGTCTACTTTCACTGGCAAAACGAGGGATAAAATATAAAGAGCCTAAGAGCGACAGCGAAAGACCATGAAGCTTCGACGTGCTTACTCGCGCGTCGCATTAAAGATGCGGTCTCAACGGTGCGGAACTTGGCATGAAGCATCATCGTCCCATGCGAGACGCTGGGAGTTAGCTCCATCGTTGGTGATCTCACAACCATTTCAAGGAGGTCATACTTTCATCTCTTTGGCGAGCGCTGGGCTCAGTGCCGGTACATTTCGTTTCAGCCGCCGCACCCTTAACATTCCTCAGTCATTCCTTCTACACTTGCCAGAGGCCAGCTAGCCACAGTCCAGAGTGCAATAATATGCGGCGAACGACTGTCGCTTGATCTCCACATGCTATTCCTCAATTTACGCCGACCTGATGGTAGAATTTTAACGGGGTCGTATACAGGTCAGGCCTGATTATTGGGTCAGGCTCCATTTCCAACAGGATCTTCCTACAGAAGAAGAAGAATCGAGCAGTGAAGAAGATGACGAGGCTGTAGACGTCGACAGTGATGATGACAACGAGGGCGTCTCTGGTACTAGCAGCGAAGAGGACGCTGCTAGTACCAATTTGGGCGCAGGTGTGATCAGCAATGACAGTGATGCCGATGAAGGCGACACTGAAGCCGACCAACCTCGTGCCGCGCAGACCATCGTGGTCTAAGCATTCTAACCCAACTGCTTAGCTTCGTATCTTTCACTTCAATATGTAGCTTAGCAATTGGTCCTGTGTTTGGTAGGGCCGTCAGGAAACCCGCCTGACCCAATTATCAGGCCCTACCCGTAAACGACCCCAAAAATAGCTAACCGACCTGATCACACCTTTGGTTTAAAAATGACGCCAACAGCTCTTGGTGGCGGGGCAGGGGCGTTGTTCTCGTCGGCGTCACCACGAGCCATGGACGTGCTCGAAACCGCGGGTCTTACCAGATTCGCAACACCCGAGTGCTGTAACATTCCCGACTGTGCACGGATCCCTTCAAACACCGCGACTACGACACGGAAGGTTCTGATCACTGACGCGGAGCTGCGACGACGGGTCGAGAATGTGGAAATCACCACCGACTTTAGCAACGCACTGGCCAACGTATCGCTGCATGGTTGGAAATGGAAACGTGACTGCAGCACCTTCTCCACGTTCACCCGAAGCATCGCCACTGGAAGTGGTGCGACGATTGCCGATGCCCAAGTGCTAGCAATGGGCACAGTCTCCGGTGGCCGGGCGTTAGATAGATTGACCTCTCTTATGAGGACACCCAACGAGAGCGACCTCAACAAGGTGATGCGGCAGCTGTACAAGCGGGACTTAATCTACGGGTCTCTGGTTCATACTGTGTCCTCGAATTCGACAGACGACAGCTTACTGTCGGTCAAGACGTGCGCATTCGTGCGATTCAAGAGGTTCTCCCAGAAGAAGAACGAGCAGATGTGCTACATCGAGCAGCTCCGACCGACCAAGGACGGTTTCGCTCTCGTCTTCACTTCGCTACCCCAGCACGAGGTCCTTGCCGGCAAGGCCAGTGGGAAACATGTCGACGACCTGTGTCCATTCCGTGGGTGGATGCTGGTCGAAAAGACACCAGAGAGCAGGGCCAGTGTGCGTGTACTCTTCCACGCTGGCGTGGATCCCGACTTCATTGCCGCGGACAAGAACACCAGCTTGGGTCTCTGTACAGCCAAAACGACAGGTGCGCGACTGCATCGACTTGCCAAAGGTGTGTGTCGATTAGGTGAGGTGCTCCACCACCAGCGTCGAGCGGACTCCACCAAAGGAAACAGCAAAAACAACCAGCGCCAAGTCAGTACGGACGTTTCTAACTCACACTGCGTGGCCTGCACCTCCAAATTCGATCTGTTGCGACGTCGTCGACGCTGCGGTCTATGTGCCTACAATGCCTGCTCCAAGTGCTGCTACCGCGAACCTATGATCATCTACAACCGCTACGCAGCGACCATCCAGTTTTGTGCTCGATGTCGGGAACGTATGATCGGTGGTGGATACCCACATCTTCGACTGGCGGCTCGACGCTTTAGCTCACCTGGCATCGCGACTTCACTTTCGACGCCTCGGTAGTGTTTACAGTGAGCGACCAGAAAGAATGAAGTCGCTTTTCGTCCGTATAATATTTTATTTGCAAAAGTTTAGAAAAAAAAGAAAATGTTGTCACTCGCACTGCATCTTGAGTCAGGTGTGCTCCGAAGAAATTATCGCTGACCAGTGACTGGCGGCCGGGCCACTGGCCGCATAGGGTGTCAACCAATACATGCATTGTAGCGATCTCATTGGTTCATTTGCAAAGAACGACCCTCTAAGAACGAAAGAAAATTCCTCCTCGGACTTTGTACACTGCTTTGATTGCAATGCGGTAATCAGAGGTTGTTGATCACGCATAAAAAAGTCATAAAGGTCCGCTGACTTCGCCTACATAAACCAGCAATTTTGCCAAAAGTAAATACATGTAGCGAACTCCATTCCTCTGATACCAACCACATTTTACAGTACACACGCTAGCAAAACTGAATGGAGCACTATCATAAATTGATCTTATTGACTGTCTGCTGAAGTCCTCCATTTTGCTCGGGATGGCAGCTTCTCGTTCTTCTGCCCATGGTAACTAGACAGTCAGCGCTCAGATATCCATCTCCGGTTCTGCAAAAGCCTGCGTAACAGTGCCGATTTTCCTGGACTTTTCCCACATTTACTATTTTAGTCAAATAAAATATGTATAGTACCGCACCGCGTTTTTACGCCCTTGGACCTTTGATCAACTTCCGGATGCAATGATCCGGAATCTAAATGAGCTCTAACTATTAAATTTTAATAAAAATTTTTTGCGAATCCTATTTGGTCCATTGCCGCGAAAACGGGATGCAGTACTGTACTTCACTTGCTGAGAAGCAAGCGCTAACATTCGTCCGCAGAGCTGCTTCCCACGGACTGTACAGTACTTCATGTTCAAAACGTCATCAATTGTTCAACAATGATCTGCGCGGTGTTGTCTCGGTGGGGCAGAAATTCTACTTATAAATTTATTAGGGTACGGAGTTGGTTTATTGTACCGGCCAAATGGGATGGATTGGTCACCGAAATTATCAGATCCTAACTTTTCTCCCAGACCGAATTTTACGATAAGGTTTTCTTTACGTAAAAATCCGCTGCGAGATGTGTTGATTGGACCCCAAAACGGCTCTTTTCGACCAATACTTGATGGGATATGGACATTCAAAATTAATGACCGTCGTGTGGCCATCAATCATACGAATATATATCAGTGATTGGCCAATATTTGCTTGAATTACGGATTCGTCGGATGCGGAAAGAAGTAAGTTCAAGTAAGTAAGTCGTTAGCAATATAGAACTTTAGTTTATGGAATAGCTCAAGCTTTGAAATAAGAATTTTCTTCGTCCAGAAATATAATTCAGAAGGGTCGCGTTTTTCCACTGGAATAAAATATTGGAATATCGATCGGTAATTTATCCGTCATTTATTCAGATTTATCTAGACAATCGTTATCCAAGCCTTGCGTTATTCCAAAAACTAAAGCTCTGCATGCGTACGTTTCCTTTGTCGACCTCATTCTGTCAGGTCAGCCGTCAAAGCGCGAACTTTTCAGACGATGTGATTTTTTTTCAGCGTATCGACAACGATAGCGAAGCGGATGCTGCGTATCTCTTTATAATATCGGCTCGTCTAGTAATGCTGGAGAGAATTACACATGTTTCATTGCAATCGGGGTCGTGAAGACAAGAGACCAAAATCAATTAGTGGTGACCGGTCCCATTTGGCCGGTACAATATAAGCTCATCTCTCCTGTACGAAAGCCGGAACACGTATGCACTGGCGTGACAAAAATGCTTTCCATTATTTAAAAACAACATTCCAAGCTAAATTCATGTATTCCCAAGTTGTAGCTGCTGTCCGTTCCCTCCGCAATCATCTGTACCATTTCCACATTGGATACAGCTTAGTTGACCGCCAGTTTTTGCAGCAGCATCGAGGTTATTAATACCTCGACAAGGTTGTACTGTACGCCGTGCTGGTCCAGTTGACAAGGTGAGCGTTAAATCGTACGTACCCGAATTTTGTCTAGGCGTTGGGGGATTCTGGGTCAAGAGCAAATCTCCAAAATTGAAGGTGTTGTCAGGAATGATATGATTCTGCCTAAACACAAGCCAGACCTTCTTAGGCATTAACCCTATGCCGAGTGGGAGTTAGCCATGCTTGGTCCTGGGTTTAAGTCCGCGTGCTTCGCAGATTGGCCTTCCCCCCCCCCTCCCTTCTTAACGTTGCTGGTCGAGCACCTTTTCATGTCGTCTTTAGGCATACGTTCTGTAGAGGATGTGCAACTGACTGATACGGCGACTGCTGAAACCAGTATCTTCATTTCTGAATAGTAATAGTAAAATTGCAACCAGAGGTTTTTTAGGAAACAAGGTGCCACGTTGGTAGAGAACTGAATACCTCAAGTCGCCATTTAAATAATCGAAACGTGTTGCTGTCTCTCAGTTATCATAATCTGAAGAGTGTGGTGGTCGGTCTCACTTCATTGGGCATCACATCATCGAGTTGCGTGTCGAAAAGCTGTACATGTACCGCGTTTACAGCACCAAACACGTTCTATTATAGCGATCGCTTTTACCCACCAACGCGAGGGATCCGCTCGAGGGATCGAGCTGCACAGTTAAGAATTACAATCCTAGGGAAATTCGTACCAGCCAGTGCAAAATGGGCCAAAGGCGGTCCAAGCCCAACGAGCAGCGATGCCGCCATGAGTGTATTGACGAGCATTCAGGGCATCAAGGCATTAGCAGCTGATAAGCGGCCTCGCAAGAAGAACAAGCGTCCGTCCAAGCGCTTTCTGTGGCAAGAGGACCTTCATTTGCGCTTCGTTGCCGCCATCTTTGATCGTAAGTGAATGTAGACGAGTGCGAGGTTGCTAAAAAAAAACTGCCTAACCTGACGTCCTGTTAGTCGTATGTTAACTCAGTTGGTCTTAAAAATGCGTCTCCGAAGACGCTTCTACCTGCAAGTTTAACGGATCCGAAATGATGCCGTCATTTTTCATTAACCATGTGCTTGTCGCTCCTCCAGTTGATAAACAAGTCAGGCCCGGACTCTGGGCTCACGACGGAGCACCGCAAGTCGCACCTCCAGAAGTACCGAATCAACTACGAGCGCTCACGTTAAGAGTTCCGCGAGCTCTGTTACCGTGAAGTCAAGCGACGTCGCCGAAAGGAGGAGCACGGCTCGAATGTAGGCGATCCTGATCACTGTGACAGCTACTCAGAGGGCG